TGCCCTTAGGCAAGTTACTTAACCCCTCTGAGCCTCCATTTCCTTAGCTAATAAATAATAAAATACCTTCCTTGCAGTGCTACTGTGGGTTTATATATCATTTTATACACACACACGAATACCTCCTGGACATTGCCTCATTCATTGCAAGTTGCTCATTGTGGTAGTTTTAGAAGAAGCAGTGAAGCTGGTGGTAGCTGGTGATAGATAAAGCATCCCTAACACAGAAATCCAAAATCTGTAGTACTCCAATGAGCATTTTCTTTGAGTGTCATTTTGGCATCCCAAAAGTTTGACATTTTGGAGCATTTCAAGCTTTCAGATTAGAGATGCTGAACTGGTGTAAGGCAGATATTCCAAAATCTCCAAAAATTTAAAATCTAAATTGGGACTAAAACACTTTTGCTCCTAAGCATTTTGGGTAAGGGATACGAAACCTGTAGTATTTGTGAGAATGTTGGCTGTACTTTAAACCCTGAATTGTATGTACACGTATACACACATAGTTTTTGTAGGTTGACTACACATTTCTGCAAGTTTTGTTTGGATGGTGGTAAATGAAGTGACCTTGAGTGTTTCCTAATGAATGGAAGAGTTGAAGTATAGAATGAAATGAATATAAAGGAGCTTGATTTTAGGGATTCGACTTAGCAAATAAATATTGTATCTCTTGGTACATGGAACTGAACGGAACATTATGGAGATACCAAGGTGATGTAAGATGGGATTCTTCTTTATTGATAGTAACCCCCTATTTGTAAGCAAAATCTTCTATTTGTACTTCACATTTACAGATTATTTTAGCAACACAAGAGTGGGATTTCATATGGACTTGTCAGTCGTGATTGAATTTCACCCCAGTCTTTGTGACTTCTGTGGACACAAAAAGCTGTCTTTAGTCTTCAGTTCTTTTTTATTTTGCTGAGCTTAATAAGTCAGCTTTTTCTATTTTAGTCATTGACACATTTAAGATTGTTTCTGCCCTTCTCCCCCATAGCTGTGTCTGAAACAGCTTTCTTGGCACAATTCTAGTTCAAATCAAAATCAACACCAGAAACAAATTCAACCTAACAGACAAGTAAAATCATTTCATGTTTTAAAAATATCTGTTCAGTTGCTCTTTTAACAGATATGAGACAATATGGCACCTTCAAGGTGAAACAGATCACTAGATATCAAGGAAAGAGAAAACTCTTGACTATGGGATTAATACTGTAAAAGCTTGTCACTTATGGCCAAAGTCAATCTGAACTGAGATTCCCTGGAGAATTACATCAACAGGCTAAAATCAAAGGTCCAATCAGAACAAGTAATGAAATATGAAATATTAGGAAATAATTGCTTAGGATGAGAAAAAGTGATGGTTCATCTTAGTAGAGGCTGTCTAAACGTGAACAATACTCACTCCTTCTCACCAAAGGAAGACGATATCCCTAACATAGTGGAGTCCAAGAAACCATCTGCTACTGATCCTGAGAGATGATGAAAATCTAATTTGCTGATCAGGACAGCTTTGATCTGGCTCAGGGCCTGATGTCTTCCAGTTTCCATCACTCTGATGGGCACAAATGATATTTTCTTGAGCAATCTGAGAAGTTCTTTGGAGAAAAATTCTGTTTCTGATTTATGTAGTGAATTGGGAGAATTTGGAGCCTGTGCCATCAGGATTTAGACCAAATTCTGAGACATTCTTTAAAATGGAATGTAAAGTGAAAGTGCTTGCATGTAGAATCTCTGGACTCCCTGTCCCATGTAGTGGGCCGACCGTTGAGTGTAACTTGCCTTTAAATTACACGGTCAGATCCTATATGCATGTGTTGTGATTAATGGGGAGATTCCATGTGGTTCCAGTTTTCATAACATCATTTTTCTTCAAGATTGCCTGCTCTTTGGTGGTCTTTGCCTTTTATTTCTAAAGATAGACACAAAAACTCTGATTTTGTGGCTTCTCTTAATGACAAAAACCCTGCCCTAGATCTTTCTAGTAATTTACACCTAAATATTGCCACCTCTGATAGTAACTTCATCTTGAAATGACCCAGCTGGAATTTCCATTTCAAGGAGGATGAGAAGGGAGTGGGGATGTTTTTGTTTCTTTTCTCCCCATTCCTTTGAACTTAAAGGGGTAACCCTTTCCCTCACCTTTCTCCTCTCCCTCATCCAGCCCTACTCACCAGTCTCAAGTTTCATTTAAAGTGATTGAAAAAAATTATAACACAATGGGGATTTGGAATTACACAGACTTGCCTACATTAATAGCATTTAACACTTCATTGGTGTTTATATATAAATGTACTCAGTAGCTTTATATTAAAGCACATGTTGTATGCATAGATACCTGGTCACCATACAGACGGAGCACATTCCTTTTGCAAACGCAAGATCATAAAACTTTGCTTGTTACATTTGAGGTTGGCTGAAGGTGGCTATTTATTAGACTCAGAAATGCTGCACACACTTGGAGTGTTTATTCTGGATTTGTTTCTGTGCATCACAAGTGTCTGGTGCAGCTGAAGAATAAGCAAGGAGAGCCAAGTGGGAAAACATCATGAAAAATCTTGAATCCAGGCACCAGTCATTGAAAAAAACAAAACTCGGACAAAGGAATGTGACCGTGGGGTGAAGTAAAATAGGAATAGTGCAGGAAAGGCCATCTCAACAACAGCAGATCTGGATGCCCGGAAACGAGCTGCTTCGGGTGTGTTCATGCATTGACTTAGGGACCAGGGCTTTGGAAAATCAGGCTGCAAAATCACCCATAATTTCAATTAAGGCAGCAATCCCTTTTAACAATCCAGCAGTTCCTCCTCTGGAATTATCGATTTGAAAGAGAAGAAAACAGGTACTCAGATTTCTGCACCCCCTATGTGCATTTTCAGCCTTATTCACAATAGCTGAACAACCCACGTGCCCATCAACAGATAAATGGATAAAGAAAAATGTGGTATAATGGAATATATTCAGCCTTATAAAAGAAGGAAATCCCATCATATGCTACAATATGTATAAACCTTGAGGACATTATACTACGTAAGATAATCTTATTATGAAAAGACAAATACTGTAGATTCCACTTACATGTGGTATGTAGAGGAATCACACACATAGCCATAGAAAGAATGGTGGTTGCTAGGAGGTATGGCGAAGGAGAATGAGGAATTGTTCAGTGGGTGCAGAGTTTGAGTTCTGCAAAATGAAAAAGCTTAGTGATACTGTACCAGCTTGTACCTATGGTTAACAACACTGTACACATAAAAGTTGTTCAGAGGGTAAATTTATGTTTTTTAACACAATAAAAAAGTGCCTTTCTAAAGTCAACAATGAAAAGTCCAGGCAGTTTCTTAACATAGAAGTGAGTGGGGCCCTATTTACCCAAACATTCTGCAAGCATCAGATGTGGAGGTTCAGTAGATGGCTTCAGGGTTCCTGCACACCATTCATTCATTCAGGAAAATGCAGTGAAAGGTTAGACCCCTTCCCCCATCACCATATCTATGTAATTCTATAGATCTTTGTTCACTCTTTCACTTCTTTTATATCAGTACCCACACCTATCTAGTACGGATAATCTGGTAACGTTAGTATAGTCAAAAGGAACAAAGAAAGGATAGTAAGAACTTAGGGTCACATGTGAAACTAAATCAGCCAGAATGCCTATCTAGATCCATGAGAGGTCATAAGAGTCCACTTAGACATCTTTGCGTGACACAGAATAAACTTCTAAGCTAAAGTTCATCTCTAAGGAGCTATACAGCACTTTGTTCCTGTGAAGATCAAGTTTCTTTCCAAACCAAATTTAACTAATTTTCACACTCCTCTCGAAGGAAGCACTTTGAAGGACAGGGCTTTTGTTTTGTTTTGTTTTCAACTGCCTGGATCCCCTTCACCTTTCTGCTGACCTTTCATGACAGTTTTCTTATAAGTAATATACTTACCTTGATGTATATTGTTCTCATTATATATAACTACTAATGGTCTTCCAATAACTTCAGTGAGACCACTAACTCCTCTCAGAGCCTTCTGCACTCCCCCAGAGCTGATACTATCCCCAAGGGGGCAAAAATGGATTCTTGTCCAAGAGGGAGGATTTTAAAAATCTTAGAGCTATTACAATGGTTTCTAGAATCTTGTTTCATAGTATTTAAGGAGAATTTAAATTTAATGTATTTTTTTCATTAGTTAGAAAAATAATGAAACAAAGGCTGAGAAAGATTGCCTTTGCTGGATGGTAATATTCCATCACAGCTGAAGTGAACTGGATTTAAGCCAAAAGGATTCAGATGACCTAGTTCTCACATTATGATTAAAAAATAAAATGAAGAAACAGCTAATCTTCTCTAACATACAAGCAGACACTTAGCGCTGTAATTGCGTATCAAGTGCGCTGGCTTCAGCCTTATTTTTAGTATCCATGTTATGTCTTTGAGGAAGTCTTGGTTCATCCATGTAACATTTCTACTGATTCCAGAAACAGGTCCACAACCAAAGGTTCTTTCTATGGCAGAGCATACTTCAGGCTTGAAATCTGTGGTTCCCCAAGGTAACAGTGCTGGGCTGCAGGGACTGTGTACTTTTATTCCGTATGTTACCCAATCGTGTCTGGACTTAATACAATATGTTTGATTATTTTTAAATATTAGGGCAAGGAAAGAACTTCAGTTTTAACCAAAACTGGCACTAGGGAGAAGCCAGCGAGCTGCTTCCAGAGCAGCATTTAAGGAGGTATTTGCACGATCTTTCTGTTTTCATCCATAGGCTAACCCTGGTTTGACCCAGCTTTTAACTGTAATGGAGTTTAGTTTCCAAACCCTTCCCTTTTCAGAGTTGATCTATGCAGGTGATTCTCTGGAAGTAGTATGATTTACAGGAGTGTAGGAACAAGGAATTTAAAACAAATAATTAACATATACGCCCATTGCATCTTTATAAGTATATTTCTTTCTGCTTCCAGGTGGCTCACATTGGCCTCAGTGATCTAAACTCTTCTCTTTGTCTTCCAGATCACTACAGATCTGAGGCAGCGCTGCACAGACAACCACACTGGGACGTCAGCCTCAGCCCCCATGGCTGCAGGCATCATTGCTCTGGCGCTGGAAGCCAAGTAAGCCTTGATCTCTATATGTCTTCACTGGTGACAACCCCTGATCTCAGGGAAAACGTACCTCTTCCCTTGTATATGGCCCCTAGCATGACAACCTAGAATATAATCTTCCCAATCCCACCTTTAAAATTTCAAAGATTTGGGCTTTAAAAAAAAAAAAAAAAACTCCCTTATATTAAGAAGAAGATAAGGATTTGGTTTGACATGCTTAAAAAAACTGTGTAATGACTTGGTTATGGAGTCATAGTGCACACATGCCAGATGGCTCTAACACTCTTGCCTTGTTGAGGTTTTTATTCTAGTCTGGGAATGTTCCTGAGGGTCCCAGAGAGGTCAGGTCTGCCCATTTCTGGTCCCTTTCTCTGAAGCATGACCAGGCAGCTCAGATTGCATGACAATAGTACAGTCACAGACTGGCTACTGGCTCTGCAGAATAAAATATGCCAGGGACAAGGACCACCCACTTATCTCCAATCCTGTTTAATATAGTGAAATTCTAAGTCAAAAAGATGACTGTGAAAGGCCCTTCCAGGTTACTCATAAATAGGCCCCCATCTCTTTTCTCTCTAAAAACAAATAGGTTAATTTGTCTTTACTTTTTGAAAACCTAATAATGCAGATCTAAAATCTCTTGTCCTCCATTTTAAAATCCAAAATGCCAGGAAAACTCAATGTTCTTTTGCAAATTTAACACTAGAATTCATTTTTTGGCAAAGTTTGCCATAAACTCACTTGAGGCTATTTATAATATTTATAAAATTCGTTGTGAAATATTCATGTATTTGATTGCGAGGGGCTGGCCCAGACCATGCTGGAGATTTTGTGTCATATATGTTATGGGTACCAGCTCTGAAAAAATTTTGAATTCCAAACATGTCTTGTCCAATTTTAGAATAGGGATTGAAGGCCTATTCTCGGAGGCTCTCCCTGCAGGAGGGTCATAAGGAACTGAACTAATGACACAAGTGGTTTTCTAAAAAAAGCCTTGCACCTCTGCCCTAGGGAGGGAAAGGCCCGTTCCTCTGGCTGCACCCTGACGTAGAGCAATAGCCAGTGACGGGGAAGAAATACAAGGATAATGAAGAAGCTCAGAGATTGCAGTGAGAACCGTGCTAGTTCATTCTCAGGATGCAGGTAGTTTCCCAGCGTTCACAGCTGCCCTCTGTAAGATGGACAGCCTGTGTTAAGGCAGTGGGACCTGAATATAACATGGATAGAGTAAATTGCTAAGTCATGTGTTTAACTGAAACTGGGCGAAGGACACGGGCTCTGGATTTGGTGCCCTGTCTCTCGATGGCTTCTTGCCCAAGTCTTGACATTGAGAGACATCCAAGCCCTCATGATCGTTTGAATTTCTTTCTTTTTGACAAGGTTAAATATGAAGTCATTTTCAACATAGTACATCTTTTAAGGTGTTAAAAATTTGGGTTTAGCAAGGAACTGGCACTTACCCTATTAAATTCTCACTTCGCAACTTTTCACTAAAGTGTTCTGGCAGCAGAAGTTTCAATTAAATGTCTGTGTTTTTAATTTGGTGAACTCTACCCAGTATTTTTAGAAAATATATTGTTTTAATTATGAAATTCTAGGTTGTTTCTCTGGAATATGTTTCTGTCCACAAAATATTAAAGGAAAAATCATCAGGAATTCCTCTACCATGCTCTCCCACAAAGCTATCTCAAATTAAAACTTGGCAACCTGATAACTGTAACTGTTGCTACATAGAATTAGGTGATACTCAGTTCTTGGAGATAGTACTAAAACACTATTTTTTTTTAAAAGCAGTTCTTTTAATCATGATTTAAACTGAAATGCAAAAATCTTGCTTTATGTGTCAAATAGCCTGAGATAAGATCACTTTGGACTGCAAAACACCTTGAAAGACTACAATTTTTTTCTTTTCATTTTGAGCATTTTTAAAGATCTATTTTTGCCAAAACTGTGATGAGTGGAAGGAAGTTCCTAACATACAGGCTACCTGGAAAATCCACTGTTTTAAGATGTTAACAGTCTCTCCAACTGTGGGTACAAAATGGTAAACTATCTGATAAGCTGAGGAAGAACAAACCTCTTTTGTGTAACTCCATTGGCTTGTTGTACAGGCCAATCTTTACCTGTAAATTAAGCTGAAAATTATGGGAAAAGATCTGAGTACCAAAAGGGTGGGTCAGATATTGATGTTAAATTAGCATCAACAAGCATCGGCCCTCCAGCTTAGTGTGAAATGTATCTAAAACTAAGAAACTGCAGATAGGAGCTCTAACAACTCTCTCAGTGCATAAAGGCTGCAATTGCTCTAAAACTAAACCTAATCCTTGTAAATGTACATCGCTCATTTACCCAGCCTCACCCCTTGCAGTCTCCTCTGACTGTTAATTCTCAACAGCACTTGAACACTGGTATTTTTGAGATTCAGCCTTTACTATCACAAGTTAAGGAGCCAGATCTAGGAGGTAGTCTCTTTTAAAAGGAGAGGAGAGAAAGCCACAGCTCTAGGTTGAGTTATGACTTGGGACACTGGGTTACTCGCTGGATGTGTGTAGCCAGTTAGGGTTCATTCAATAACTGGATAGGCCGAGCCTTCAGATGAAAAGCTGCAACAATCCGCCAGTCCCTATAGAAGTGCATGTCCTAACTATCCCTGTACGATCAGGAGACATTTATTGTTTTTCTGAATATCATTAGATTACTGTATTTACTCAGTCATCGGAACATTAGAGAAAACTAGATCCTAAGTTTTCCCCAGCCTGCTTTCCTTACACGCCAGATGTCTGCCTGCATGGGTAGGACTGTGGTTCCTTCCGTGATGCTGCTTCTACCATTGTCCTCTCTGCCACTTGAAAACCTTCCCAGGAAACTAAGAGAATAAGAAAACGAATACACCCCGTAGTCCTAGCTACTCTGGAGGCTGAGGCAGGAGGTTCCCTTGAGACTAGGAGTTCAAGGCTGCAGTGAGCTATAATCACACCATTACGCTCCAGCCTGGGCAACAGAATGAGACCTTATCTCAGAAAAAAGGTTGTGGGGGAAAAACAAAAATAAGTGAAATGAAACACAAAATATAGAAACAGAGAAGCTTCAAGTATCCAGATCTCTTATCCAAATGTGACAAGTTTCATCGTGAATAACTTTGCTATGTCCAGGCGTAGTGGCTTACGCCTGTAATCCCAACACTTTGGGAGACTGAAGCAGGCAGATCACCTGAGGTCAGGAGTTTGAGAGCAGCCTGGCCAACATGGCAAAACCCCATCTCTATTAAACACACAAAAATGAGCCGGGCATGGCGATGCGTGCTCTTAGTCCTAGCTACTCAGAAAGCTGAGGCAGGAAAATTACTTGAACCCGGGGGACAGAAGTTGCACTGAACTGAGATCATGCTGCTGTACCCCAGCCTGAACGCCAGAGTGAAACTGTCTTAAAAAAAAAAGAAAAAGAAATAACTTTGCTTTAGCAGCTAGTAGGACTCTCAGGCCATCCTTTGCCTACAGGATACATAAGAATATGTGTTACAACAAATTCCACTCTACTGTGCTCCCAGATACTGGAATGAAATTACTCTGCTCCCAAGACTACAGGAATTCTCAGTTCCTCTGAAAATCTTCCTTTTTTTAACCTTTTTTTTCCTGGGTTTGAGCCTCTTTGGTTTGGGTTGTGTTAAGCTCTACAGCCACTTTGAGGGAGTCTCATCATGTGTCTTGCCTTTCTGATAAAGTAGGAGATTGCCTCCTTGTTTTCAAAGATGCTTCTAAAAATTATGGACAATTTCAGAATGAGAGAAAATACTGTAATCTTAAAAGAGAGGGGAGAAAAAACTTTTTGTGTTGTTGTACCTCAGAACATTCTTGTTAGTTCAGAAGGTTTAATAGTATTTTGATTTTTTTTTAATTTTGTAGATTTTTTTTAATTGTACTTTGGGCTCTGGGGTACATGTGCACACCTTGCATCCTGCAGGACTGTTGCATTGGTACATACATGCCAGCATGGTTTGCTGTCTCTATTCTCCACTCCCTGTCGCCTCCATCAGGCATTTCTCCCAGTGTTATCTCTTCCCATCCCCCCATCCCCTGCTGCCCTCCTCTCCCCTCCCCTCCACCCCCCACCTCGCCCAGTGAGTGTTATTCTCTTCCCTGTGCCCACGTGTTCTCATAGTCATTGCCCACCTATGAGTGAAAACATGCAGTGTTTGATTTTCTGTTCTTGTGTCAGTCTGCTGAGAGTCATGGTTTCTAGATTCATCCATGTCTCTACAAAAAACACAAACTCATCGTTTTTTATGGCTGTATAGTATTCCATGGTGTATATGAGCCACATTTTCTTTGTCCAGTCTATCATTGATGGGCATTTAGGTTGATTGCAGGTCTTTGCTATCGTAAACACTGCCTCAACAAACATACATGTGCATGTGTCTTTATAATAGAATGATTTATGATCCTTTGGGTATATACTCAGTAATGAGATTGCTGGGTCAAATGGAATTTCTATTTCTAGATCCTTGAGGAATCGCCACACTGTCTTCCATAATGGTTGAACGAATTTACACTCCCACTGACAGTGTAAAAGTGTTCCTATTTCTCCACATCCTCTCCAGCATCTGTTGACTCCAGATTTTTTAATCATCACCATTCTAACTGGCATGAGATGGTATCTCAATGTGGTTTTGATTTGCATTTCTCTAATGACAAATGATGATGAGCATTTTTTCATATGGTGGTTGGCTGCATATTTGTCTTCTTTTGAAACGTGTGTGCTCATATCCTTTGCCCACATTTGAGTGGGTTTCTTTGTTTTTATTCTTTTCTTTTTTTTTTTTGGAGACGGAGTTTCGCTCTTGTTACCCAGGCTGGAGTGCAATGGTGCGATCTCAGCTCACCGCAACCTCCGCCTCCTGGGTTCAGGCAATTCTCCTGCCTCAGCCTCCTGAGTAGCTGGGATTACAGGCACGTGCCACCATGCCCAGCTAATTTTTTGTATTTTTAGTAGAGACGGGGTTTCACCATGTT